CTGAGGTCACATGGTGTGGGTAGGATTAGTCCCAACAAACAGATAAAGAAACTGATGTTCACAGGACGTAATTGACTTATCCAAACTCAGCCTCTGTATCAAATCCTGAACTCTTGCTACTTCCCCAGGCCTCAGCTATCCAGGAAAACAAGGGCCCCAAGGAAGAGACAGAGATGATCAAGGCAGGCTCCCTGCAGGGGTGACGCGCATTCAGAGGAAAGCAGAATTCACTGACATAGGAAGGCATCTCTCATACATCTTCACACCCAAATCCTCATCCAGCCGATGGCCGCAGGCCCAGGCTAGGAGTGAGCAGGTCCAAGGTCAGGTCTAGGTCTCTGCTGGCCACGGCCCTGCAGGGTGCTTTGGGCACAAAACCTCTCTGGGCCTACTTTTCTCATCCATAAATGAAGATGCCCACAGGGGCTTGTAGGAATAAAAGAGATTAGTTAGTATTAGGAGAGCAGAAACTGATCTCTCAGTCAGCCCCTCAAGTCTAAATTAAGTCCACCCATTGCTCCCGGTGCCGACACACAAGCCTCCCACTCCCCGGTGATTAACAAGAAGACCCCCCTCACCCTGCAACAGCCCCAGCCTCACGCTCCCTCTGTCTTCCTCACACCTCCTCTCCTCCCAAGGAGGCTGCCACACATGCCCTACACCATCTGGCCCCAAGAGCAGGGGCTAAGAAGTCACCCCCAGCCTGCAGAGGTTTTCCTAGAGTGTGCTGAGTCCCACAAATGCCTAGTGACCATGGGAATCACTTAGCAAGAGGAAAAACCAGACCTTTGCCCTGGCCCCACTCATAGGTGATAGGGTTAATCGAGAATTCTCTTTCCCTCCTCAGCACGGCTAGGGGGGTCCAGATCCCCATGACCTGAGGACACATTAGTCAGTGATAAGTGCAGCTTTCCAGCCCCTTTTATCCTGTTTACAATACACTGGCTCTCCTTGGAGAAAACCCTGCTCCCCCTACCTTGCTCCTGGCTGTTGTGGCTACATGAGACAATTTGCTGATGGACTCTCTGGGAGGGCAGTTTCCTCGGCCCCCTCCCCACGTCCTGCAGCACCCTGGAGCGACAACCCCTCCACCTGGTGGGTCCTGGAAGGAGCCACAGATGCTTGCTTTTTCTCAGCTCATGGCAGCTTCTGAGTCCAGAAATGTCACTCTTTGTTCGGCTTTAATCGAGAGGGTTGGACAGAAAACCCAGAGGCAGTGAGATTATATTTTTCTGGCTTTGTGGGGGTGACTACTGTTTGGTTGCTGTCCAAAGTGGATGGCATCAGGGCATCTTATTTATTGTGGCGAGTCCATTTTTCGGTGGAGACGGCAGGACGATACAGCGGCTACCTGCGGATGGTGTGTGACAGCAGCCTGCTCCTCCTTCCCCTCTCCTACCACACACACAGCAGCTTGGGCAAGCAAGTTGATTTCCCTGAAACTCAACTGGGAGGGCCATGCCCATCCTGCCTCCCCGCAGATGGTGACGTGCACAGAATGAGAAACAACAGCAAACAGGCTCCCAAAGGGGGCATCGTGTTTGGCACAAGGTATGGATTTCAGATGACGATTCTTTCAGCAAGAATGGCTGCTGATGCTGGCAGTTTGTAATTGCCTAGAATTCAATTTGCAAATAATTCGGGCATTGACTATGGCAGGCAGGTAGACTGTTGAGTAGGAGAAAGAGTTGATTAAATAGAGTCCATTTCATGGCAAGATACTTAGCAAGCACCTACCAGTCCCAGTCACGGGGCTGGATGCTGGGAAGAGGCAGGGATGAATGACACATTCCAGCTGGTGGGCAGAGAACCGGGACACCCACAACAAATGACAAGGGAGTCCAGGTGCCAGAGGAGCACAGGGGAGGAGTTCCATCCCAGCCTGGGAGTTAATCAGGCTTGAGGCAGAGGGAAGGGTGTTTGAAGCACAGGGAACAGGGCTTGCAAAGATGAGAGGACACAAAGGCCCTTGCAAGAAGAATTTCAGCTACTCTGATGAGGATGGGGGAGATAGCCAGAGATGTGACCAGTGAGGAGGACTCTGTCTGCCAAGGCAAGAATTCCTTAGCTGACATCTATAGGCGCCAGGGAGCTATCAAAAGGCTCAGCATATACGTGACCTCAAGTCTGTGTTAAAAATCTCTTTGGGGCAACACTGAAGAGGTTTGGAAGTGGGAGGGAGTATTTGAGGAACAATGGGGGCCTCTGGACAGCCTCTTAAAATTAGAGAAGTGAGACAGTCACAGCTGGCACCACTGTGCAAGGCGGTACACGAGTGCTGGCCCAGGAGGGACAGACAACAGGGGCTCGGGAGGAAACTATATCAGAAGATACACTGGGAAGGGTGTGGAGACCAGGGTTGGGGGTGTAGGGAGCCCTCAGCTTGGTGGAAGGGATGACAGAATTATTCTATGTAATTTGATGAGCATCACCAGAGAAACACAATAGGTTACTGATATTTCAGTGATAAGAATTAAGTTCCATCAAATTGGACAGATCAAAAAGACTCTTCAGAGTTTCCAAGTTTATCACACGACAGGGAGGAGAAATGGGCTGACTGTGGGTTGGGTTGTTATGTCCTGGAACTACAGAACTTGAACTCAAATAAAAGGAGAGAGCATGAAGTTATCATACTGATTTTCCTAAAATATGATGTTATTGAGTTACCCCTGATCGTGGAGCTACTTCTGATTCATAGCACACTAGACTAGTGGGGTAGAGTATCCTTTGCCCTGTGAGCCTCCTTACCTCTACCTGGTAAAGGTGGTCACCTCACCCCCTCCCTCTACAGGCTTTGGACCACGTATCAGATTGCCCACCAGAAGTGGCTGTGCCTCTCTTCTCCATTTGAGCCATTATGCTCTAATGCCAACTGGCTTTATCATCAATCTCTTCTCTTCTAATCAATGTAGTAACCTCACTTTCACAGGATTAGTCTTAAGTTGGGCCCAGAAAAGACCAAAAGGCCAGGTATGCATTACATGAGGGGAACATCTCTTCTGGCTTCACCCACAGACCCCTATCCTATTCACCTCTTCCCACCTGGCTACAGGTTTCAGTGTATGAAAAGCAGGGGATACAGTCAACACTGAAAGAAATCATTTTCTAGGAAAGTAGTGATGAAGGCCTAAAGAACTCAAGACATGAATGGAATGTATTCTATCCATTTTACATTCACAATACAGAATTCTGAACACTGAATTTTCATTCATATTTTCCTGCATGGTCTAGACAAAAAAATGTCTTAATATAATCATGAGTGAAGTACAGTAACAAACTTTGGGTCACTGGAAGTCGGTATTCACCAGCATTGTGAAGAATGGCACATCATGAGTACTGACATAATTAGCGTTAAATAAATAGCTTTAACAGTGAAGAAGCAAAAAGCCACGTAGATCAGTGCAAGGGGTTCTGAAGAGCCATGACTACTTTTTTCTCACGGTAGCCAAAAATAGCACATTTGACAATAAAGAAGATGAAGAGAGTTCTTGGACCTGAATAGGAGGCGAGCCTGACTAAACCCAGCCATAGGTCACAGTCTTTCCACCATTTGCCTTTGCTCAAGAATTCTTCAGCATCAACTGCCCCCCCTCTTCAACTTCCTCAGACCAATACAATAAACACACACGAGACTTCAGAACTTTGTTGGTTTTTGAAGCCCCTGTTCATGTTATTTAGACCATGAAAACCTCTTGTTCTTCTCCATAGAAATGGTACCAACTATAACTATTCTGATAATATAGTTTAAGGACCCAATTAGTAGTCCCAAGAGACCACGAGAGATGAAAGATTTGAGGACTGTGTCTATTTCTTCCCCTCTACCTCCCCACCCCCATTATCTGTGCTTGGTAGTAGGTCCTCATAATAAACAGATACTAGAATAAACAGAAAAGTGTTTGGGAAAGAAAGTACAGAGGTGGAGTCTCTTGGGGCACAAAACTGGGTGGAATCCAAGATACAGAAAAATAGAAGCATCAAATTGTCAAAGGAAGAGGAACATCTCCTCCCTTGGGAGGGCCCGCAGATAAGCCGGGGAGGATGGAAACCGGCTAGGCCTATGTGTAGAGGTCAAAGTGTCCAGATCAAGTGCTGCCTCAAATGCCACGTCCGACCTTGTCTTTCCTGAGTCCACCGAGTCAACCCCAGTTTGGCTCAATCTCTGGACTTTCTAGCCTGCAGCTGTTCATTGGTACACACATCTGATTGCCTTTCCGAGGCCGCGATCTCTTCGCGGGCAGGAAGAACCCGGTTCCCCGCCAACCCCCAGCATAAGACACAGAAATCTCTAGTTCAGAGAAGGTCTACTGGAGGGACGGAGGTGGGGACGGAGGAGGTTGGCGGGAGTAAGTCGACAAATTTGAGACTGGAGGAGCTTGAGCCAGAGACCCCTGTGAAGAGCGAAGCCCCCAGCTCGAGTTATACGTTTTCACGCGAAGCCCAAGCGGCTGCTCCCAGCCTGCCCGCCGCAGGGAAAGGCAGGTGCCGGCCCGCTAGCCGCGACCTGGCTCTGAGGACCCCAAGTCCGCCCTCTCCGACTGCCCTTGCCAATGCCCGACTCAATACTGGCGACAGCCTCGGGCCAAAACCTAAACCGCCTATTTCCCCATGTTAGGAAAAACCTCTGACTACACTAGCCGGCTTCTCCCGGCCTTTTTTCCCTTCCCTTTCTCCTCTCTCGTGACTACCATCGGGAAGGCGCGCGCCGGGGCAGCCCCAGCCGGCGGGGGTGGGCGGGTCCTGAGACCGGAAGCCGGAAGCCGGAAGGGGGGCTGTGAGGACGTGTTCGGAGGAAGCCAGAGCCGGACCCGGCGGGGCCGGCGACATGGAGCCCCTGTACCAGCAAACGCACAAGTGAGGGCCGCGTTGGGGCACGGGTGGGGCGAAGCAGGCTGGGCGAGGCCGGCCCCCCAGGTTAAGGCCTTGGTCGTACTCCAGTGTGGAGGCGAGACCTTTCGCCGGAGCGCTGCTGGGGCCAGCTCGGAAGTGCTTAAACCCTGGCGGGATGACCAGGTCAGCGGCGGACTGAGGGTCCTGCCTGGCGCTGGGGCAGCTGAGTCGGAAGGCTCCCGGGACCCTCAAAGCCGTGACTACCTGCTGGGTGGACAAGGTGAAGGGAAAGTCACACCTACAAGTTACTGTATTTTGTCCGACATCTGCCACCTAAGTGCTCCGAGTCGGCAGCGCTCCTGGGGACAGGGCCCCTGCACAGAGTTTACTGTTCAGCTGCAGAGTCAAAGCATGTAGGGTAAAAGAGCTATTGTGTGGCAGGATGGGATGGAGGGTAAGTGAGCAATACCAGCAGGATCTTCTCAACCAATTTAGAAGGAGCCATCACTGGGGAAAGAGCCTTAGAAGTTTCACTATAGCTCACAGCTTCTAAATGATGTCAGGCCCTGCTCTTGATTGACTCTAACTTGTTCCTGTTACACTGTGGCTTTTTAAAAAACTTTTATTCTTACTTGGTTTACACTAAAAATCCTATTTTTATGATACAAAGAAATTGCTGTGCAAGTAGCATTCGTTGTTAATATTTGTTATAATAGATTACAGGTTACCTTTATCGAAATCAAATTTGGGTTTAGCTTCTCATAACTTAAGGTCCTCATTAGTATCCCTTTGATTCATATATCCCTGAATTTTTGGAACTTGCTGAGCTGTGTAGTTAAGTGTGGTAATTAGGGCCCATTGCCCTGTTTTTTTTTTTTTTTTTGTTTTTGTTTTTTTAAAGAAAACATTTTATTATGGTAAAATACACATAAGAAAATTTACCACTTCAAAGCTACCCATCTAGTTTTTAAATGTTACTGACATTTGATATTTTAAGCATACAATTTGTTGACATTGAAGTACATGCACAAAGTTGTGCCATCACATCGATCCATTTCCAGAACTTTTCATCATTCCTAACAAACTCACATATCCATTAAGCAGTAGCTCCCTATTCCTCCTTCCCAGAGACCCTGGTAACTGCTGTTTCACTTTCTGTCTCTAAGTTTGCCTGTTTTAGATACTTAAGTGGAATAATACAGTACTTGTCTATGTGTCTGGCTTATTTCACTTAGCATAATATTATCAAGGTTCATCTATGTTGTAGCAGGTATCAGACCATCATATTTTTTGTCACACACACACCATGTTTTGTAAGCCATTCATCGGTAGAGGGACACATGGGTAGTTTCTATCTTGTGGTTATTGTGAATTATGCTGCTATGAACGTCACTATACAAGTATCTGAGTCCCTCTACTATTTTTTTGGAGTCTGCACCTATTCTATTTTAACTGTTTTCGAGCTTATGCCATACTTTATTTGTGATGGAAACACAAATCACACTGCCAGTGCCTGGAAATGAAATAGGAAGCCACACATGAATGAATTTACCACAAAAGAAATGCTTTGGAGCATTAGGAATAAGAGGATGATGATCCTCATACCTTTTCATTGTCTAAGATTATGGGTCTTTCCCTTTAGTGATGAAGTGTTTGGTTTGGGCAGGTGGAAACAATCAACTTTGTAGTGGTATCAAAATGACAGGATTTGTTTTTACACTGGGGAATCCCTGTTCTCACATAAAAATTATAGGAAGGAACTTTAAAAACTAAACCTGTGAGTCAGTTGGAAAAAGGATGAAACAGAAAAGTGTGCTCACGATACTGAGAAATGACAGAGCTTTCATAATAGCACAGTGGGCTGAGTAATGTCTTGAAGTTAGTCAGTAATGTACAGTCTCATCTGGTCAATTTGATTAAAGGATGTTGCTAAAGAAGCCACGATCCAGTTTATTCTCAGGAATAATTTTGTTCAGAGAGTCCCAGACTGAACCTGTCATTGTTACAAGAGGTAGCTGACCGAGGTACTTGTAAAAGTAATCTAGGTAGCTCAATTTTTTGGTAAATTTAGGGAGAAGAGGAATGCCAATGGTTTATGGAGTGTAGATGAACAACTTAGTTCTTCAGGCCTCTACCAACCTACCCTTGGGCTCTATAGACCCTGGGACTTGACCATTTAGTTATTTATTAAAGATTTATTTTTATGCATATAAGAACTGGGGTACAGGCCAGAGCTGTGGGAGGTGAGAGGATTCACCAGAGACAGAGTGGGGAACAGAACAGGCAGATTAACTGAAATACACTGCTGAGGGGAGCAGTGGGCGAGTCAGGAGAGGTCTGCTGCGCCATCTGGGTAGCTCCCTGGCCGGCTGGGGATCGAACTCGTGCTGCAGAGGCTGCAGATTGCTTCATAGTGCGGTGCTTAATCCCTTGCACCACCAGGAAGGCCCCCAATTTATTTTTTGAAGAATAGGTTTATTAAGAAGGGAGAAAAGAGGAAAGGATGTTTGCGAAGACATAAGTAGGCAGAGAAAGCTTCCATGAGTGTGGATTTTTTTTTTTTTTTTTTTTTTTTTGTCAAGGGCTACATAGTAAATAATTTAGGCTTTGTAGGCCTTAGAATCTCTGTGGCAAATACTCAACTCTGCTATTAAAGCAGGACAACAACCACAGATAACATGTAAATATGTGACTGTATTCCACTAAAACTCAACTTACAAAAGTTGGCAGTGGGCCGAATTTGGTCTACCCCTGGTAGGCCCTCTACAATGCATTCATTCATTCAGTGAGTATGTATTGAGTGCCTGGGTGACAGGCACTATTCCCAGTACTGACTGTACTGCCATGCCCTCAAGGAATTTACCTTCTTTATGCTTCAGTGTAGTCTGATCTGCCTTTCCCTTAAGTACTTAACCAGGAGTAGGAGTTCTGGTTCTAGATCTCTTTGTCTTGTTTTCTTCATCAATAACATTGTAGTTTGAATCTGGTTAAATTCTAAGGATTCTCTCAGCTTCATAATACTAATAATCAAGAGTCTTTAAAGGACACTTAAAAGGGGTCAGCCTACATTTATTTACTGCTGTTACCTTTTCCAGTTGTAGAAATTAATGCATGTCACTGTGTTGACCCAACAGCAACTAAGCATTAATTTTACTGGAACTTTGAACCCAATTTGTAGTTATCTTTTGACATGTCCCCAAAAGTCCATTGGAATTAGATCAACATTTTCAAGTTCTGTATCTTGAAAACTGAACTGCCTGAACAATAAATGAGCTGGAAAAAAAAGATGAAAAATAGAATAAACATTCTATACTTAATATTATAGTTGAATGAACTTTATAGAAGAACTAATAGCCAGACTTGTATTTTGGAGAACTCAGTGTTTGTGAAGATGCCCACATTTGTTACTTATGTAGTCCAGGATCTTCTGGTGCCCTGGAGCTTACTATCCCCAGAGATTCTGATTCAGTGAATCTGGAGCACACGAAGTTCTGTTGTAACAAGTGCTCCAGGTAATTTTGATGAGCAACTGGGTTTAAAAACTTACGATTAATTTTTCCTGTTTTTGATCTTGCCTTCTGAAAAGAGGCGCAATATGATAAGGACAAAGTGGGTAGGTGAAAATGTCCAGATGGTTCCTACTATTTTTTTAAAAGATTTATTTATGCATACATGAGCTGGGGTTTAAGCTAGAGGTGTGGGGTGTGTGTGTGAGAGAGGACTCACCAAAGACAGAGTGGGGAGCAGAACAGGCCAACTGACTGAAATACTGCTGAGGGGAGCAGCAGGCAAGACAATAGAAGTCTGTTGTGCCAGGTGGGTTAGCTCCCTGGTTAGGGATCGAACTCAGGTCTCAGTGACTGGTGATAGCTTGATTGCGCTGAGACTTTAACCTCTGTGCCACCAGGGCGGCCCAAGTGACTAGCTCTTTTGGTCATTCCTCTTCATGACCTGACTTCGAAACTCTTCACCAGTCATCTGTTCATCTTCTGTTGGGGAAAACCTATAATTGATACAGGTCTTTTCACAAAGGTTCCCAAATTGGATGCCATTCTGTATTGTACATTAGGCCTTTTTTTTTTAAATTTTTTTAAAGATTTATTTTTATTTATTTATACAAGCACTGGGTACAGTCAGAAGCGCGGGAGGGTGAGAGAATTCACCAGAGCCAGAGCAGGGAGCAGAGCAGGCAGAAGGACCGAAGCACACTGCTGAGGGGAGCAGCGGGCGGGAGGAGAGGTCTGCGCACCATGTGGGACCCTCCTCCGGTGGCTGGGGAGCAGCCAGGGATCGAACCGGCGCTGCAGAGGCTGCGGGCAGCTTTGCAACCCAGCGCTCAACCGCTGCGCCACCAGGGAGGCCCTCATTCTAAAAGTTTTAAATATTTTTCAGTCTAGTGGGGGAAATGTAGTCCCGCATTATTTTACATAGGTGCTTTCCTGGCTGCTAGTAAAGGTGAGGGGTTCAACGTGTATCTGTTGACCATTTGGGTTTCCTTTCTTGTCAGTTGCCCTTTGCCCATTTTATAAACATTGATTTGTTTGACTTTTTCTATTGACTCGTAGCCATTCTTTATATTTTCTAGATACTAGTCCTTTGTTATCTGCTACAGATAGCTGCAGCATCTGCCTGACTTTCGTATGGTCCCTTTGGTGTAGATATTTTTGTTTTAATGTCTTTTATGTTTCAGCAGTCTCATCTTTTGTTGTTTGTAGGCTTGGGAGGGCATAGGTTTGCTTTTTGTCTTGTTTAAGAAATCCTTCTTTATCCTGAAATCATAATATGCAGCCCCGTGTTTTCTTTGGAAAGTTTTAAAGTCTTGCCTTTTACATTGGGATTTTAACCTTCTTGGAGGAAACCATCCTCCAAGTTTAGTTTTTTATGTTTTTATGTACTAATGAGGCATCTTCTTCCATATGGATAATGAATTGAGTGGCAGTATTTATTATAGTCCATTCTTTCAGACCCATTCAATCCCCCAAGTGGACGGGACCGTTTCTGGCATCTATTTTCCCGGTTGGGTTGGGTGAGGGCCGGGGTTTGCCTCAGTCTGTCCTTGCGCCACTACCGTAGTATTTTATTATCGTGACTTTGTAGTAAGTCTGGTGGGGCAAGTCATCTTATTCAGGGTTGTCCTGGCTGTTTTGTGCCCCTCCTTCCCCCCTCTTTTTAATAAAATTACGTTTCTATTCTTGTTGATAATGCCACCGATTTTCAAATTTGCTCTGCCACCCATTGAAAATTCACCTCCCTGCCGACATCCAGACCTCCGGTGATGTCCCCTGTCCGTGTTACCACCAGTCTTCCAGAGCTGATTCACACTTGCCCTGACCCAGGAACCCTGACCCAGGTCACCTCAAGCTGCCCTCGTGTCTCCATCCATACTCTGAATTGTTCAGACCCATCTTACTGAGGCAGCCTTACTGAGGCCTCTCAGACCTCAGTAGTGACTCTGGTTGCCTCGCAGGGCCGTGGGGTCCTCCTAGGGCAATTGGGTCATTAGCAAGCTGGCCTTGCTATGGTGTCATGGATCACGTTTGGGGCTGCAGGGAAGCCCTGGGAAAAAAATCACAGTCATGATGCTCACCCTGGAGGGTGTTTGCTGACCTCTCCCTAAAGGGTTGGGGATGGTGTCAGAGCCAGCAGGCCTCCTTCGTCTGGCTCTCCAGCAGAGACCAGAAGCACAGGAGACACTTGGGGATATTGATCATGGGGGATTGCTAGGAAGAGCTCAGAGGGTGACCTTGCCCAGGCTCTGGGGAACTCCAGGCAGTGCTCTGGGGCCTGCTGACCGAGACCGTGCCAGAGATTGGGGTACGGTGTTGCATTTCCAAGGAGGTGGTCATCGCCTCATATTCCAGAAATAGATGTTTATCACACAGAAGATCCCCATCTTTCGGGGCCTCCTTCTAATGTTTCCTCCAACTGATCGTCTCACCCCGTCCCCCCTCAGACCCTAACTCCTTCAGCACCCAGCTTGCTTATAATCCACATGGCACACCGCGTGTGCTTTTTTATATCTTTTTTCTTTCTATCTTCCTTCACATGCTGTTCAGAACCCCCTTCGCCCACTAAACTCCCCTGCTTACTCTTTCTCAGCCCTGGCCCTTTCACTCACGCACCTTTGCCCGGCAGCAGCGATCTGTTTGTTTACACTTCTGTGTGTGTTAGTGTTCTCTTAACTCTTCTTCGAACTTTTCAAGTCTGTCTGGCCTGTGTTTCTCAAGGACAAGGATTATATCTCTTTCACCTTTTGACTCTTCCCTAGTACAGAACAGTGCTCAGCACATTGGGTCAAAGAACAGAAAGTGGGATTGGCTGGGTCCAGATGGTAGTTTATCACTTGTGTGACCTTGAGCAAGTTACATAACCTTCTGGGCTTCAGTTGTCTTATTTATAAAATGAGGATGATAAAAATTTCCTCATAGGGTTTTGACTTTGTTGACTATCTCACAGGTGGTAAGCACTCAATAAATGCTGCCTAGAATTGCAAAAATGAATGCTAAAACCCTGCCAAAACATGTGGCCTAAAGTGTCACGAATTCCACAGTTTAGTGATGCTGTCAATTTAAATCAGTTATGTGTTGATATCAGAAAAATTGTCTTTCCTGACTGAAGCGCTGTTGATTACTCCTGTCTCATTCATTTCCTCCCTCTTCCTTTGATAGGCAGGTCCACGAGATCCAGTCTCACATGGGACGCCTGGAGACAGCAGACAAGCAGTCTCTGCACTGTGAGTAATTAACTATGGAGACCAGAGTCCTCTCTGATGACATGGTGCTAATGGGCTGGGTTTCCTGACTGCATTTCTGCCTCAGGGGCTTAATGATTCAGGGCGGAATGAGTTCTGTTGTCAGAATGGACAGAAAAACCCTGTGGCTAAGTCCCTGATTTCCCTGATTGTGCCTTTGGAATCCCACAAGTCTTATCCCCCATTACCTCTCCACTCAACCTGACATGGCCCTGTGAGAATGGAAGTTCTCGCCTCCATCTGTCTTAATCTAATTACGGAGTCCTTAGAGGAATGTACTCCATAAAAATTCAGAGATGTTTAACTGGAATTGGTCATTTCTTCTGAGCTGAGGACTGTGGCTTTTGGGGAGGATTATTTAAAAGTGAATAGTAATATTAATTAGTTCAGTTCCCACACCGTGGTTTCTTTTGAGATGAATGCTACTTTAGGTTTTCTAGTTTCTTTTCTACTATAAGAAAAGGTCCTTTTTCTCAGTGGGCTGTAGACACTGCTGGGCTCCCCCCATATTTCAGGGGAGTCCGCCTCACCTCACTGCTTGGCCTGTTTTCTCATGTCCCCTTTCTGCAGCTTCAAGCATCTCTTTTGGTTCTTTGCTCTGTGTTGAGTTCTCATGTAAGCTGTGTTTGTTAGCTGTAGGCTGACCGAAGAAGGTGGCGATGCTGTCATTATTCTCATTTCTTTGTGAGGCAAGATGCAATCTGCCAGCTGGCTCTGGTGCAGTTTACTTTCTGTTCATCAGATTTGTTTCCTTCCCAGCAGTCTCGCTGGTCCCTGATTAGAAATGGAAAAGCAGTCATTTCGACTGGTTTTCAAAAGGGATAAGGAGAATGACTGTACTTATCACATCTTTACCTCTGGGGATTCTTTCCTGGGCCTTTCCTGTTGATACATGGTCTATTTTTGGGTCCCCAGCATCAGCCCCCCCCCCCATCCCTCTAGAAGGCCTTACAGCAGCTCTTCTCTGTTTCACATGCTAATCTTCCCCTTGGTGCCTTTTTCTTAAACCTCATTACTACAGGAAATTCAATTGACAATATTTTTACTAGATGTTTATAATTCCTATCTGAGAATAATCTCAAAGGAAAAGAGATCTCATTCCGTGTCAGAAAATACTGCATTTTGTTAAAATATTTATTTGGACACCCTTTAAATGTTTGTCTTATTTTCCAAATTCCTTTCTAGAGATTTACCTTCAGCCTTTAAAAAAGAATTGGCATTGTTATAAAATTAACAGATGTAATATATATTTGAAACAAGATTTACAGAGTCACTTAGTATAACTTGAGTTTTTTTCCATTATTCATTATCTATTTGTCTTCTTTTGAAATACCTATTTTTTAGTTAATGGATCTGGAACAAAGATATGTTTGATTGATTTAAGTTCACTATTTCTTTTCCAGCAATTATTCTTTTTTTTTTTTCTTTTGTGTAGTAGTAGAAAATGAAATCCAAGCAAGCATAGACCAGATATTCACCCATCTGGAACGTCTGGAGATTCTGTCCAGCAAGGAGCCCCCTAACAAAAGACAGAATGCCAAACTGTGAGTGCTGACCCCAGCTTTCTCCCAGGGGAGGCTATAGAATATTCCAGAGATCCATTTATACATTGAAAAACTGAGACTGTGCAGAGCTAAAGCACAGTTCTGTTTGGGTGATACTCCCTCAAAATAAAATGTTTGTGAGGTTAGTGGCTCAGAACCCTTCTGTGTCCTTACCTCGCTGGTTTCATTTTGAAATTTTGCCTCCAATATCTGTGTTTTCTGACCAGATCCATGGCCACTTGAAGCCTAATGCTGCAAGGGCATTTTACTCTGCCATTTGGGTTCCCACTGCATTCTTGGGTCGAAATGAAATCTTGCTCTTAATCACTTCAGTCAGTCCATTTATAATGAAATACCGATCTAATGCTTGATAGTCTCCCATAACATTAAAATGAAACTACCCTTACCACCTCCACTCCAGCGCCTATTCCCAAAAGTTTTATGAAACTTTGTGGATGCTTACTCCAAAGATGCCCTTGGGCTTCTTCTAGGAGAGCAGTATAATCCGTATAAGGTCAACAAGAGGTCAGTGGACCTGCTTCCTGTCACCTATTCCTTGTCATGCATCCAGAATCAGAGACCAGCAGATATTTATGTAAAGCTGCTGGAATCTTGTGTGCTGCCACTCTACTTTAACTACAAACTACTTCTTTATTGTCAGCATCCTTGATCAAAATCAGATTATTGAGGGGGTGTGGGGCTGGGGAACACAGGATATTGTAGGGTGGTATGGGCAAAAGTAAGGAAACCTCTTTTCTGAATGCAAAGCCTGGCCACCTCAAATGGTGCTGCCCTGGGTTCCTAGAACTCAGTCTCTCTCTCTCTATCAATTCCAGTCGTGTTGACCAGTTAAAATACGATGTCCAGCACCTGCAGACTGCTCTCAGAAACTTCCAGCATCGGCGATACACAAGGGAGCAGCAGGAGAAACAGCGAGAGGAGCTTCTGTCTCGCACCTTCACCACCAACGTAAGCCAGGCACCTGGGCGGGGGGACAGTCTGCAGGTGCTTCCCAGCTTGCTGAAGATGGAGCTCAGGTCTCTGAGCTTCGTCCTTTCGGGGGTGTCGGAAGCACGCTGCTGAGGAGAACAACCAGAAATGCTGGACATGGTGCATTGCCGCAGAGACTAGATCTAGACAGGGAGTTTCTTTTTCTAACACAAAAACCTGAAGAGGAAGCAGTTAAATGAAAGAATGAAAGGTGAAAATTACCTGGTTTGACCGGTCCAGGGCTGAGGTGGAAGTTCACATAGTGAGGACTTTTTTCTGATCAGATAGAGACAGATGATTAGAACTTAGACCATTTGCAGCGAGGGCAGTGTTTCAAAGCTGCCTTCGGGCAGTTGCTATTGTGCTGTGTCTGTGTGTGGTTCCAGCGTCAGACGCATTAAAATGTTTTTGCCCCTAGTCTGAGCAGTAATTTGGAGGAATTTGTTAACAGATATTTCATTTTAGATGGATTGCTTGACTTCAGCCTGTTTTGAAGGTGGCCTATTGGTTTGCTTGTTTGATTTCTTAGCACACCATTATCCCTGCCCTTTGGTCTCAATAGGGTCACTTCCTGCACATGGCAGTAGACCACACTGGCCTCTCTCATGTCCTGTGTAACATACGCCATTGAGTAAGGTGGGTTGTGGGTTTGGGTTTTTGCTTGTTTGTTTTTTTATAGAGGGGTTTGTTACCTAAAAGGCCTTGGCTTTCTAATCCTGCTATTGGAATTCATGTTGGTTTCTTCTTGGCAGATGTTTGATTCCCTATGCTATATCCACACTTATAGTAAATTTCCGTTTTAGAATGTGCTTGTGTAGTTTTCATTTCTCTAGGGTAAGCAGTCAAGTAACAGTGATTAGCAGTTCAAAATTGTAATAAAGATGTGTTGGTGGCATAGTGACAAGCAGAGCTACCTTTGAGAAGTGTTAACAAGCTACATGATACCACAAAAGTTGTCGAATGTCGTCTGGGCTTTAAAAAGTTATGGCATCGGGATCCAAGCCTTTTTTTTTTTTTTAATTAATTTATTTATTTATACAAGCACTGGGTACAGTTAGAAGCGCGGGAGGGTGAGAGAATTCACCAGAGCCAGAGTGGGGAACAGAACAGGCAGAGCGACGAAATACACTGCTGAGGGGAGCAGTGGGCGGCAGGAGAGGTCTGTGCACCATGTGGGACCCTCACCAGTGGCCGGGGATCGAACCAGCACTGCAGAGGCTACGGGCAGCTTCGCAGTCCAGCGCTCAACCACTGCGCCACCAGGGGAGGCCCTCCAAGCCTTTTTTAGGTCAGGGATGATCTAAATTCTTTTCTAACGAGCCTGATGTGATACTGTGCATATAGCAGCCCTTAATGAAAATTGATTTGCCAAATGAATTTCTTCCTAGTCATTCTGTAATCTGGAACTACGGTTTTTGAGAGATAATGGCCCACCAGCCATACCTTTTAGACTTACATATAAAAGTGCATTCAATAAATACTTGTCCAGTAAATGAAGAGAAGCCTCTAATTGATTGATTCAGACACTGACCCACTCACTGATCCCTTGAGCATTAGCTCTGTGCAGAACACGACTGTATAAAGTGCTGAGAGTAAAGCGTGTGAAAATAAAAAGACATGACTCCTTCCTGTGAGAAACTCCCGCAGGGGGTGGGGGGTGGGTAGAGAAGCTTGAAATCCTATATGTAAAAAGTGATTCTAAACTTGCACAGCAAGGAGAAAGTGGCTTAACCTCTCTGTGACGATTGAAAGTAATAAAAATGGCACCGTGGGGCAGAAGGGTTCTGATCCTCAGAAGGTGAGGACAGTGCTGTGGCCGTTCGTGCCTGGCTTCCGTGCAGTTCACTCCCAGTGGACGCGTCAAATGCTGAGTCCGGTCTTGGTGTTTCTCCTCACAGGATGGTTAAGAAGGCGGGCTCCACACTCAGTACTGGGGTTCATGCCCCACAGGACATCCTGTAGCTCTTTGTGATGTTGACAAGTTATTCTTCCTTTCCGGACCTAGTAACTACCTCCTAAGCTTAGAATGAGGAGTCAGTAAGCCTAGTGTAGAGGGCAGGCAAAGTGGAAAGCACTTGATCAGTGTTAGTTTTTTCTCCTTTCATTTCTTAACAGATTTTTCCCTGCCTGCTCGGGAGCCTACTCCCACCTTGAACACTGTTAGGCTTTCATTTGGATGCACAGTCTCCTTTGTCTTCGCTCAGCCTCAGTCAGCTTGGAGGGATGGATAGGCTGTAGATAAAATGGGTAAAGAACAAAAGCAAACTTTTAATACTGCATTAGGGGGAAGCCAAGTAAAGGAACACTTGGAAGAAGCTAGATCAGTGAGTAGTCAAAGCTTTTAGGATCAAGCCTTTAGCATTTCTCCTAAGTGGGGGTGATGATCCAGAGGCAGGAGTTAATAGGACTTGGGTGGCAGAACTTATCTGTCAAGTGACAAGTCTGAGAAAAGTTCCTCTTCCTCTGAGTGAACGGAGGCCACCCCGGATCTTTGCTTTGCTTTGTTTCTCTGTTAGGTTCCTCTGATTCTTGTACCATCCTTCTGGCTGTTCTGGCATGACCCAGAGCGGTCAGATGAGGTGGGACTCCAGGAGCTGACCAGCAAGCAAAGTTAATCAAGTGCCTGCGTTTCTTTCACAGGATTCTGACACCACCATACCAATGGATGAATCCCTGCAGTTTAACTCCTCCCTCCAGAAAATTCACCACGGCATGGATGACCTCATTGGAGGCGGGCACAGTATTCTGGAGGGACTGAGGTCCCAGAGACTGACCTTGAAGGTGGGGGCCTTGCTGGGGGACAGGGAAAAGGCCTCTTATTTGGCCTCATCCAACAGTTTGGTACCTGTGTTTACCTTTTGATTTTGTCTCCAAATTGTGACACTGGGGTGGTGAGACGGAGCCCTTGAGTTTGGGATCCTTTCTATTGGAGCTGAATCACTATGACTCTAAAACTAACCAAACTCCTTGACCAGTAGGAATTTCTCATGCTTGTCATGGGTCATCTCTTGGTGTCCAGGTCTTTTTCCATTCACTGATCTTATCATGAGAGTGGTTGCTGCTGTAAGAAGAAGCAGCAGGAGGCTGGGAAATCTGTCTAGTGCCCTCTGTCCTAGGGAAGGAGTCATGGCTGTGCTCAGGGACCTCACTCTCAGCTGTTTCTCTGGAGGCCCCTGCTGTAAACTGCCCATAACACAGACCTTCATGTATGGCAGTGACTGTCCCTATGGGTAGGGCCTTACAGGCTGACTAGCAGCAGAAGCTTCTAGAGCACATGGTGGTGATCCCCAGTGACTCGTCCCTCTTTCTCGTAGCAGGTATACCTAGAAGCCCTGCCCCATTGGCTGAGACTCAAACCCCCAGGGAGCGGCTTACAGAAACATTATACACTCTGATGTCAGTCATGAGGTTTCAGCCTCAGCCCTTTTCCTGTATCAAGCCTGATGGATAATGGGGTGTGGGCTCTGCCTATTATCAGGGTGTGGTCTCCTGTGAACGAAGCACTCCCAGCCACTGAGCTGTGAGAAACAGGCACTTGGAAGCATGGGTTTTATCTAAGTTTTTCTTGGACCACTTTGAGCCTGTCAGCTCCACAGGACGTCGGCACATTTCTGCCATCTTTACCAGGGAGAAGGTCAGGCAGCCAGAGTGACTCTTAACCTCCCGCTGACGACTGCGGCGCTTCCCAGGGTCTGGAAGAGCAGTCCCCACCAGCCTCACGCAGCCCCTTTTCACCTTTTCACAATAGCCACCTGCAGTCATTCCACCTGATAGATGATGATGAACTGCCCTGTCTTTAGGAAACTGCTGGCCTCCTTCCCGTGTCTCAGAAAAACAGCAAACCCCTTTAGGACAAGACTCACCATGTCACACTAGCGTCAACTGGGAAGGAAGGGTTTGAGCTTACAATTAAAGCAAGTGTTTGCTTCCTTCCAAAGTCGGCCTCACTGAGAAGTGCGGGCACCTTCTGCCCCTGCACCACCAGCAGAAGTGAGGTGTGGCACCTCGCAGTGGCAGGAGGTTGGAATTTGAGGATTCCGATTGTTTCCTCTGCAGATCTACTGCTACCACCTGTCTTTCGTCTCGATTGTCCTCCGGCCACTCCCACCCCATCTTTGTCAGGGAATGTTTCTGCTTTAGCCACTTGAATATAGAGCATGAAGGAGCTGGGCCCTGATTTGGGGAAATTTGTGGTTGAAAATGAGTATGTTTTTCGAAATGTGCGGTAACTTTCAGGTCATTTTAGAAGCTTGGTTCTTAAACCTCATACAGTGATGAAGTAATCTGCACTTGCAGAACTAAGCAGGACCTTTAGCAAGAGGCTAATTTTTATCATGACTGTCATGGGGGGAAAAGTGGTGTCTGGCTGCAATAAAGTTTGACTTGAAAGATCTCCCCTCATGAGGCTTGTTAATCATTGTCTGGGCAGAATGTCGGTTTTGAATTCTTGTCCTTGATGCCTCACATTCTCGCTTAAGTGTTCATTTCAAAAAGGAATACGGGGCGTTAGGTCAGATGCATTTGGCGATGTGTGTGTAAGTAGCTGGGGGTCTACCTCGTGATCATTTATATGTGTTACTACAGAAGACAATGTGTTTTACAATGAAAATTGAAAAGCAGAGAGGTGGGCTGGGTGATTTGGACTGTTGGTTTAGGAATAAAATGCCCTTTTGTTTTTGGTGGCGGCTAGTGACATTCATATAAAGGATTTGGGGCCATTGTGTTGTGTCTGCTGACTATGTCTCTGTCGCTCCATCTTACCACTTCACCCCCACTTGTAAACATGGACTCTGGCCCCCTACCTGGTATGCAGCAGAATCCCCTGGGTTTCTGCTTTTCCAAAGTGAACAATAGGCTGATAGCAAGGATTTTGCCTTTTTAAAATAAAATACTCATATTAAAATTGTAATTGGGGTCTAATTTCCATACAGTGGGGTATTCAGATCTTATTGTATGGGTCATTGAATTTTGAAAAATACATACGCCTTTGCAATTCATGCTGCCACCTAGACATAGACTGTTCTCATCCCCCCGAAAGATCCTCTAAGGATTTCTCATTCCGTGTCCCCCTACCACCCCAGGCAACCACTGTTCCAATTAGTTCTCTATAAATTAGTTTCATCTATTACAGAACTTCATATGAATGTATTCATATTACTCTTTTCTGTGCGCCTTCTTCCTCTCAGTATGTTTTCCTGGCTCATTCATATGGTTACTTATTGGTGATTAAGTCCTTATTAGTCCAGGTGTTGTGTGGGCAGCCCATAGTTGCTTATCCATCCTCCAGCTGATGTACACCTGCCTGGTGTCCAATTTTTTAATAGTTTCCTATCAAAAGGAGTCCAATTTTTTGATATTCTCTTTTTGATAGGAACTATCATAGTTTTAGCTTTCATATGTAATTCTATGGTCCATCTTGAATTGATTTTATAATATGAATCAAAGTTTTTTTAACACACGCATGTGTATATATATATATATACTTAGTCTAAATGAGACACACATGTAGTATATGAGCCATACTTCTGATATTCACTGTGTAGCTAGCTGGTTGGTCCAGCACATTTGTATAAAGGATTTTTCTTTCCCCCTTGCCTTGTTCAGGTACTTTGATCGTGAATCATTTAATCACACAAGAGTAGATTCTTTTTCAGGTTGAAAAGATCCTTTCGTATGCTTTAAAGTCAGAACCAAGAAACTTGGTAAAGCCCCATCTCATAATGATATTTGTCCGCCCCTTGGCAAAACAAATTCATCTTTGTTGTTCTCTTTCCCTCTGCCCAGGGGACGCAGAAGAAGATCCTTGACATCGCCAACATGCTGGGCTTGTCTAACACAGTGATGCGGCTCATCGAGAAGCGGGCTTTCCAGGACAAGTACTTCATGATCGGTGGGATGCTGCTCACCTGCGTGATCATGTTCCTCGTGGTGCAGTACCTGACATGAAGCGGCCAGGCCCGGCAGCTGAACGTTCCCTCTGTGTGAAAGTGTGTGTGTGTGAGTGTATGTGTGGGAGAGCGAGGGGGAGCCCAGTGGCTGCCTTTTGAAATGTACGCCTGTCTTAACTGTGAAGACTGCTCGGAAGCAATTGTGACCTGTAACCTAGTGGGCGTTTCAAACGTCTGTTTTGTGTGACATCTTGGAGGGAAGCTAGTGCCACCAAGATGCACGGTGCTTAGGAAATGAAAGAAGTACCCGGTCTCTCTCTCTCTCTCACTCTCACTGGGGGAGGAGGACATGTAAGGGATGGAGAAGGAAGGGTAAGGGGAAGAATGGCTTTGGTTTCGTCCACAAAGCTGATGCATCCCCAGGGAATTCTCTCTTGGGGAACCTTGCAAACAGGCCTTCCTCACTCTGTAACCACCTGGCCTTTCTGGCTTCTCATGGAGAGTCTGGAGCAGGATACTAGCCGTTTCCCCTCCCCACACCCAAAATGACCTGCAGATGACTGACTGCTAGTAATTGTCCTCCTTCCCCGGAAGCAGCTACCTAGAAGGAAACAGCATTGACACCGTTGCTGACCACAAGTAAGATTTTCTGCTTTACGGTTGTTGGGTGTTTCTCCTAAAATGAGACCAGTGTTATTCCCTGGGAGTGCTCAGTCATGAGATTGGAGACCCTCGTCACTGATTTTTTTTCCCCCAGTAGTTAAGAGAATGGCTGCTGTGTAACATTCCAAGACTGCAGCCTGGCATCCAGGCCCAGGCTTCGGCGGCCTCAGCCCCTTAGAAAGTAGCTGTGAGCAAAGGTTAGAGATTTGTCAGTTACAGCCTCATCTCCAGTTTTGGTATCTCTGTCTTTTTGGGTTTTTCCTTGAGATATGTCAGCAGCTGCCACCCGAGCTCCCATCCTGCATAGGCAGGGTGAGCAGTGCCACCTGGACGTCCTGGTGTGGGTGTCCTTGTGAGACTCTTCAGGGACCAGGACCTTTACCTTCTCTGACAAGGCTGGGTACCCGGTGTGTTACAAGATGTGTGTAAAGCCAGCCTGTTAGACTGTCATGGCTTAATCACTAACCGTCCCAGAAAGACCTGGTCAGCAGATGTGTTTACCTGTCCCGCTGGCCCTAGGCTCAGTAGTCTCAGAGGGAAACAAAATTAGTACCAAGAATTTCCCCGAAGAACTGGAACCTGGTCAGTATGCACTCCACCTTTGCTCGTCATGCCCCACCTACTTCCTCTCTTTGTTTCTTGCCACTTAAACTGTCTTCTGTCTTTCGCATCCCACCTCCCACCTGCTCTGTAGCAGTATGGGTCTTTCAGGCACATGTGTGCCGTAGCTCTCAGTTTGGTGAGTGTTTTAATCGTCACTGATTTTTACATGAGTTTTCCAAGTACTTATCTCGGTGGGGTCTCCATTGCTCTTACTCCTGTGCACTAAACAGGGCCCTGCGTTTCCAGGGAAGAAGGAATCTATGACCCCTTCACAAAGGAATGAAAAGGGTGACCTAGAAGGTGGGCACCTTCTAGAGGTTGAGACATCGTCAGATCTAAATCACACTTTGGAAAAGCAGTTTGAAATTTCCATCACACCCAGTACCCCTGCCACCCCAAGGACCCACCTACCAGGCACTTAGTAAAGTGGACTTGAAAACTCAGAACTGGCTGGTCCATCCACTGGGCGCCTGAGAGTAATCCATAAAGTGGACTTGAAATTTCAACTGGCTGACCCATCCACTGGGTGCCTGAGGGTCCTCTAGACAGCACCATCTGCAAGGAGCAGCTAAGCCATTCGCGCTTGAACTCTAGGAGGCAGAACTCCCCCCACTCTCCATTGGCTGATGCAACAATGATTTGTGGAGCACACCAGTGTGTTTTCACATCTGCCTTTATAGTGATTGACCTGGATGAGCCAGAAGTAAGGCCTTCCAAGGTGCTGCGCTTCCAGAGACACTCTCCCGACTTCTAATGAAAATTATGGAGGCAGTTTGTGAGTCTGTACACCCGGGCAAGAGCGCTGCGGCCATGGTGTGTCTGGAGACACAGGCACGGTGGTCGCCCCCGTATCCGCAGTCCATTGCCTTGTCTAGCCTCCTGGAGAAAAGCACCTTGGCCTTACTTGCAGGGTGGAGAAGGGTTCCAAGCTGGGGTGGAGCGCCCTCTAGCGGATTTGGGGTGAATCTGAGGGCAAGCTGGTGCGAGGGTCTCAGTGGAAGGCGGCTTCTGCGACGTGCACAGGACTTTGGTGTGCCTCTCGTGCCACCTGGCTTAAGACAGGAGGTTTGTTAAGGAACTTGGGAATATCTTTTTTCCTTGGACATTTACTCCAGGAGTGACCACTTTCAGGAAAGCTGAATTCAGACCAAGTAAGTAGGAGAGTCTTGATTATATTTGGATTCTCTGCTAGAATTTTTTCCCCTAAAGTCTGCTGCCCTAATGAATTTAAGTGAATTTGATTTGCAAATTTGAATCTACATACATTGTTTTTGAGGCACATCAGTTGAATAAAGTTGACATTTATTTTATTTAGAAAATTATATTTTGCAAAGGAATTTGATGTTCATTGGTATAACAAATGACCCTGTTTTTTAAAGGTTTCCAGGCCAGAGAGTCTCAAACACTTGCTCCATCTCCAGAAGCTGGGCTGGCTGCCTCAGACGCTGCTGGCAAGCTTTAAAAATTTACAGATTCCCGGTGCCTATCCCAATCTGAATTAGAATAGTTTTGTAAATCTCTAATTCTCATGTGTGCATTTTAGAACCACTGACTCTTAGGTAATCAAAGATGATAGTATTTGTAAATATTTTCTGCACTAGTTCAGCATGTAATTGTGAAGAGCAAAACTTAATGGGTCCAAAATAAAGTCGTATTTGTTTACATTTCTATCTTATTCCAGAAGAGATTTGAGGAAACTTACAGGAAATAATTAGGCCAGTGTAATGAAAGAAATGCAAGCCAAGAACAGATCAGAGTAGCTTGTCAGTACCAGGAGAAACCATACAAGTCCTGAAGCCCAACAGAAATATTCTGGGGAGTTCCTGGTTTGGCTTTGAGCCCCAGCAGTTCAAGAAAAGAGAGAAGTGTGATCTGTTACTGAGGGTTTGGGGGAAGGAGCGCAGGGTGCTCAGGGGAAAACCCAGGCCTTTAACTGCTAGCTTCCTGCTGCCCTTACTGGAAGTGTAGGCCAGTTATTTTCCGGGGCCTGTCCGGTGGTCTTTCTGAGTTAGGTTCCCTGTTACCCCCCCCCCTTTGTGTGAATGAGGAAACTGAGCTTTAGTGACTTTGCTAAGGCCTCACAGAGGGTCCTGGAGGAGCTGGCCCCTCATCTGCCAGGCATCCAGGCTCAAGCCCAGCCATTACACCTGCCTGCTACCTGTGTTTGAGATGAAATGCAGCCCGCCAGGCTTGCATGTAGGGCTATAAGGCATGTGTTGCACCATACATGGCAGGTTCTCTGTTCTGCCATATTTTCTCCTAATGGAAGTGGAAGGCATGGGGGAAGAGAGGGAGTGGATAAAGAAGGGGAGCTGTACTCTGCATTTACCACCAGGGGGCAACATAACCTTGTCTGATCAGCTCAAATGTGCTGTGTGCCTTGGGCCTGGTGGCCCTGGAAGAGGACAGCGACTGCTGATTTGGTTGGTGCTTTGGGGAGAGGAGCTGAAGGTCCAGAGTCAACCAGGAAGTGCGGTCTCCTGAATGCATTACTGACTATTGTGGGCACCCGGTTAGCAGGAATTATGATCACAGAGACTGACCCCCTGATGCAACATTTCCTTTAAGGGGTTGCAGTGCCTCTCCTTCCAGACACCTGTACAGACTCCTGGAGAGCAGCATAGGGGAGCCCTCCTGCCACCTCAGTCCTTTAGTTTCAGCCACCAGAACCCTGTCATGTGCCTGACACGGCAACCTCTGCCCTGTGGCTGGCAGTAGAGGCACGAGATCAGGAATAGCCCCAGATCCAGGATGCAGATGCCTGGCTTCAAGTTCCACCCCTTTAGCAGCAGGCACCCGCCTCTCTGAGCCTCAGCTTTCTCCTCTTACGGTGTGACTTTTGCCCACATCCCTTCCCAGGTGGGCAAGAGGGTCCACCTGGCCTGGTGCTCGTGGAAGACTCCAGAAGTCCAAGGCAGGGCTGCTTACTAGTGACCTTCAAAGCCCTGATTCTGTCTCCAGAAGTTCTGAGCTGCTTGATCAGGGTGTCAGGATTTTTACCCCAGTTTCCAAGGGATTCTCATGGACAGCTAAGGTTGAAAACCACAGTTCCAAATGCTTTCCAGATCTGACAGGTTATTATTCCTGTTTAACTGGAAGGACAAGAACTGCCCATGTGAAACACCAGAGGACAAAGTAACATGCAGATTCCACAAGTGGAGGGGCGAGGGGGAGCCATGTGGCCATAGAAGCAGTAATAGGAAGGGTCTTTTGGGAGAGAGGGAGGCGCTGGGTGCTGCCAGGGCCATGTGAGGGACAGGAAGGGTTGTGGGGGAAGGACAGGGTGGCTCACATCTGCTGCCAGAGACCTGAGAAGTCTGAAATGGTGGGCAGGCACTCCTCAGGGACCACCGGGTGGGCTGTGCCAAGGCGGTGGTTCCTCTCCTCTCCCTTTGCAGCCAGTCCGTGGGCTCCACATTCTTCCGCCCCAGATGGCTCAGGCAAAGAGCCCACCTTCTGCTTCCGCTCGCCTCCTGGTCCTTCTGGCGTGCTCTGCAAGGAGTTTCTCGTGCCCAGGGCATTGCAGGACTGGGGGCCAGAGGGTCAAGGAGTTGAAACCTCTGCAGGAGGGGAGACTGGTCATGACTGCCCCAGGACCTGTCTGGTTGTTATGAATATCAAAGGATAAAATACTGAACACTCCTGGGTGTTGTCCAGATTCCTGCTGCTAAATGTGTAAACTCAGTGTCCATGGTGCTTTCTCTCCCTTCTCTCCCACTGCGGCAGAGGGCAGCCTCGCAGCAGTCTAGGAGGCCTGGGAGACTCTTGGAAGGCAGGTCCCCCAGCAGAATTCCAGAAACTGAAGCCATGGCCCCTTCCTTGGGAGAAAAACCACCTCAGAATAAATATTTTGAGATCACTCAGTTGGAGGGAACAGCCTCTAAAGATGTCAGGGGAAACAGAGCTCAGCCCCAATGTTGTACCCTTTTAACATAAAACGTCA